TGTACGAAATAGTTTCCAAATTTTGCAAGCCAGTCGAGCTAGCTATTCTGTGGAGATTTACTGGCCCGACTGGATTTTTACTAGCCACGGGCTAGCGGGCCAGTGGCTATTTCGCACGTGTACTGGTTTTGTCACGACAGAAAATGACATTTACTTGTCGTGGATGTGTTGGGGCAGGGAGACTATATATAGATTGTAGATTATTATTGGGTTATCAGCGAAATATGGTAATCGGACAACCATTGTTCAATCTGACCTGGCATCATTGCATGTGTTAGCGAATCGTAACCTAGCTGCACGAACGTCGTGTCGTCTTGGCCTTGCTATGCGTCCAATCGATGACGTGGCAGCATAAGTGGACATAAATATACAACTGGACGCTGTGGTCGCGTAATCGATTCCCCACGGTTCGTGCTCAGATGGGACGCAAGCCAGGCATACTGCAATTCAGACTCAACGCCGCAGTCTGAAACTGATTTTGCTGACGAAGCTGACATGATGCACATTGCTCGTAGATGTCTGTGACTGTCATATGGCATTGTAACGTCCAGTGACATTGAGTGAGTGAAATGAGTATGGTTTTACGCCGCTTTTATCAACATTCCAGCAATTTCACGGCCGGGGACACCAGAAATGGGCTTCACACATTGTACCCATGTGGGGAATCGAACCCGGGCCTTTGGCGTGACGCATCGGTTCCCAATTGCGCAGATCGATGCTCATGCTGTTGATCACTGGATTGTCTGGTCCGGACTCGATTATTTACAGACCGCCGCCATATAGCGGCGTAAAACAAACCCACTCACTCACTCACTTTGGCGTGACGAGCGAACGCTTTAACCACTAGGCTACCCCACCGTCAGACTACTGCATGGCCACCTATATCTTAGTTATGATGCCAGAATATGGCTGACCAAACTGACAACGTTAACAACATAATCTCCCGTCTAGATCGTCTAGGACTTGAAGACGTTGAAGAACATCTGTAGTTTCTCACCCAAACCATGAAACAATATACCCAATACAGGTCATGCTTCTGTAGAATATGTGGCGAGTCGAGATTACCACAGTTTCTGAAAATGAAGAAAGTCTCTGGTCTCCTTTTAGAATATTCTATGAACATATTTTAATTACCTTTTTTTCTGTAAAATATGTTAATTTTAGAGTGTATCGTAAGCTTGGAACTTCCGAATCTGGGTAGGATATGGCCCGACGAGGCCGTTAGGTGATATAAGGTGAAATGGGATCTCTTTTATATGAACGCAGAAGCACGTGTGTGTGCACACGCGCGCGCATCTGTTTATCGGTGTAATACCTATAACACTGACTCATGGCGGTTTTATGTCACTGAGATACTAAGTCCAAGGTTAACAGTCATACTCCACTCCACTCACAGTATAGAGACAACAAGGGCGGTGGGGTAGCCTAGTGGTTTAAGCGTTGGCTCAGCACGCCGAAGACCCTGGTTCGAATCCCCACATGGGTACAATTTCTGGTGTCCCCCGCCGTGATGTCGCTGGAATATTGCTTAAAGCGGCGCAAAACCAAATTCAGTCAGTCAGTATAGAGACAACAAACCCACAAACCCACCAGCCTTGTTTTAGTCCCTTGAAAAGAAGCACCAGGCTGGGTGAGGTGAAATGGGGTTTAACGTCGTACTTAAGAATATTTCGCTCATATGAAGACGTGCATGCGTGTGTATGTGTGGCTGCTTGTACTAGCCCAGACTTTAGCTGGTTTATAGTGCCAGCTCACTGAGATACCATGCCGCAGTGAAGCATGAATACCCCATTCAGACACATAATACTGACTCTGAGCCGACCCGTCCTTGTTGTAACCCTTTAATGCTAAGCGCCGGGCAGGGAACAACAAGTGCCATATTTTAAGGTTTTTTGGTATGACGCGGCCGGGGATCGAACCCGCGACCTTCCACTCTCCTGGCGGGCGCTCTAACCACTACACCACGGAGGCGGTTGAACCAGACCAGTTAACATGTGACCTCTTTTAACGTTCATCATCCAACTCATAGTTGAGTCTTACGATAAGCAAAGCCGCCAATTTTTGACGATGTCGGACCGTTCTGCTGGACAAACGACAACGTGGAAGCGACTTTGTCTTTAACACATGACATGGATGGATGAAGTCTTGTGTTTCTTTTACTTCGCTGATGTTTTCCGAGCAATCGGTTGATAGTCGATACAGTTGACAACCGACATCTCTTGCAACAGCCCTCAGTGACATGCCAGCATTAAAAATCTTTGAGCAGTTGTCAGTTGAGGAGGCCTCATGTTTGCTTATCATCAATGAAATCAATTATTGATTTTCCAAGTTATCGAGCTGTACTGACACTTGATATTTGCTTATTGATGGGTACACGTATTGCTCGCCTGTGATCGAAGCACATGTATATCTAAACGCAATGAATGGTGCACCTAAAGAGTCAAATTAGCCATACAACGATAAGTATGACATGAATATAAATGGCTATTATTGAGGTTAAAAGTCACAGCTGTTGCGACATACCAGCATTCCGAATATCAATGACTTGCTGTCTTTGAGCAGTTCTCAGTTAAGGAGGCCACGTGTTTGCTTATCATCGGCGAAATCAATTATTGATTTTCCAAGTTATCGAGCTGTACTAAAACTTGATATTTGCGGGTACACGTATATTGCAAATGACTGAGTTCGGTTTTTACGCCGCATTTAGCAATATTCCAGCAATATCACGGCGGGGGACACCAGAAATGGGCTTCACACATTGTGCCCATGTGGGGATTCGAACCCGGGTCATCGGCGTGACGAGCCAACGCTTTAACCATTAGGCTACCCCACCGCCCCTATATTGCAAATGATGCTCGCCTATATGATCGATGTATGTTGCACCTAAAGAGTCAAATTAGCCATGCATACAACGATAATTATAGGAATATAAATGGTTGTTATGGGGATAAAGGTGACAGCTGCATGTTGCGATACTTTTTAATGTGTAAATATATGCCTGTCCTTTCGGACTGCTGAAACTAACAGTCAGTCTTCAAATGAGCTTCTTGATGTGTTGGTGACGTCACGTTGTACATTTTAAGCGCCCTGAACGCAAGTTTAAATACAACCTTTCCAATGTTATAATGATTTAATGATCGAATCGCGAATCACTACAGTAACGGGTCCTTTCGGACGTTTTCCCTTTACTAATGTGTGAGATGTCTGTCTGGGTCATCCACTGGTTCCAACCATAAAGACCTGCGAGGTTCTGGGTTAGAATTGATCTTCAGTAACCCATGCTTGTCGTAGGAGGCGACTAACGGGATCGGGTGGTCAGGCTCGCTGACTTAGTTGACACGTCTTCGTATCCCAATTGCATGGATCGATGCTCATGCCGTTGATCACTGGATTGTCTGGTCCAGACTCCATTATATACAGACCGCCACCATATACCTGGAATATTGCTGAGTGAGGCGTAAAACTAAACTCCAATCACTACACTCTATATCCATAAAAGCAACATGAAGATTTTTGCCAAAACTTTCAGGCAAAAGAGTGAGTGAGTGAGTTTAGTTTTACGCCGCACTCAGCAATATTCCAGCTATATGGCGGCGGTCTGTAAATAATCGAGTCTGCACCAGACAATCCAATGATCAACACCATGAGCATCGATCTGCGCAATTGGGAACCGATGACATGTGTCACCCAAGTCAGCGAGCCTGACCACCCGATCCCGTTAGTCGCCTCTTAAGACAAGCATAGTCGCCTTTTGTGGCAAGCATGGGTTGCTGAAGACCTATTCTACCCTGGATCTTCACGGGTCTTCAGGCAAAAGAAAAGATCTATAAACGGTTAACTTAGTTGCTTTGTTTGTTCTTCAATGCTGTACTCAAGCACTATCCCAGCTGTATGATGGCGGTCGGTAAATACTCGAGTCTGAACCAGAAAATGCAGCGATTGACAACATGAACATCTGTCTACGCAAATGGAATATACGACGTCATGAATCATTCAATCCACCAAGCCCGACCACCCCATCCCGCTAGTCGCCTCTTACCTGGTTGCTGAAGATATGTTCAAACCAGGATCGATTCCCGACATCAGTACAAATTCACGTCCAATATTATTGCATGCATGGAGTGTTTGCCTTTAACCCTGAAAAGCTGCAGGCCCAAAGGACCTAGAACCATATAAAGTTCAGGGGCTCCCTTCACGAAGCAACTTTTACTAAGGTTAACCTTAACTCCCATTCTTTAACATTGCACTAAAGTTACATTAGCGACTTACGATCACCTTACTGCTTGGTGAAAGGAGGCCCTGATCAGAATGTGTAGGCCCTATACTTTAACATGGAAATAATACACTTAGTTATTGGGGATGAAAAAGCTGTCGGCCATAAGGACCTTCGGTAAACAAGAGCTGAGGGCCCGAGTGGTTTTCAGTCGGCTTCGGGCCTGGCGACCGACGTTAATTTCGACGATAAATGCATGCATGCATGTTTGTGCGCGCGCCTTTGAACTTTACAATGTATCCCGTGAGGTCACACCAACATTGTGCAGCAGCTGCTGAATATAACGCAATAATCTATCATCATAAAACCTGACTGGCCATTTCGTACAGACAACCCAAAGGTGATGCAGCTCACCTTCCATGAATATGGAAATACTTGTGCAAGCATACGCACTGTCATCATAAATCTTGCCAGAGGCTGAACAAAACCTGTGGTGTCAGTCTGGCCTGTACAGCCATTGTGACAACGTGATGACTAATGAGATGCTACGAAACGTGTATACAATGTGACACACGTGATGCGATTATAATCTGCAGCAGAACCAATAAAACAAATCTTGGTCACGTTTGAGGTTCAATACAGGTGTTCATGTGTACAATCCGACGAACACTTCTGGAACGTTGCGGTCTACAAAGGACATAGCAGTAAGCTTATTAGACCAGATAAGGTCTGAAGGGACAATTCAGATTGATTTGTTTTTTTTCCAACTCATAAATCCATAAAATACCTGTCCCTCTTTAACACTTTCCAGTTTCCTGTGATTTGCAGCAGGAATATTCTGACCAGATGTTATGAAGTCACATATGATTCTCTTGGAAATATGTTTGTGTTTGCCTGTTACTGCACTCAGCATTTTTCCCGCCGTATATATACCGTCAGTCCGTATATAGTCGAGTCTGGACAAGACATCTTGGATATTTACAAGCACCAACTAAACCTGACCACTCAATCCCGTCAGTTGCCTCTCAGACAAGCATGGTTTGCTGAAGACCAATTCTAACCCGGATGTTCAGAGGTGAGGTGAAAGTGGGTTTTACGTCGTGCTTGAGAATATTTCGCTCATATGACGACGTGCATGCGTGTGTATGTGTATGTGTATGTGTATGTGCGGCTGCTTGTACTAGCCCAGACTGAAGCTGGTTTTATAGTGCTAGCCCACTCAGATACTATGCCGCAGTGAAGCATGAATACCCCACTCAGACACATTATACTGACTCCGCGTCGACCAGTCCTTGTTGTACCCATGAATGACGAGCGCCAGGCAGGGACCAACAAGTACCATATTTTAACGTCTTTTGGTATGACGCGGTCGGGGATCGAACCCGCGACCTTCCGCTCTCCGGGCGGACGCTCTAACCACTACACCACGGAAGCGGTCCGGATGTTCAGAGGGTAGACGTAGTTTGAAGAATGAGTGAAGTTGCAAGACGTTGAAATCTGGAGCATGAGTGATCTTTGGGTGCAAACAGTTGTCACTTAACAGTGCTTAAGAACTAAGGATCTTAGAAATAGATATTAAGAGTGGAGGGGTGGTAAGAAACACAATTTCATTGTAGTCTTAGAGCTCGCTGGAGCTATACCAAGCCCTATAAAATAAGATCTGAATTCAATGAGATTGTTAGAAACCGAAAAGCGCCAGTCGGGTGTGTGGTGTTCCATAACATTCAAAATGACCATCCAGTTAAAACCTTCTTATCATATAGATTGCAAGTCACACTAATCACATATAATGAATATCAACAAATTCTTACAATAATCTGCTTTCTTAGGATAAATTACAGTTGTATTCAGATACGTTTTTCACATACGAGTACTAAAACTTTAAATAATGTGACAATAACATTACATTGCTCATCTTTTAAAGACCCCCCCCCAAAAAAACCCCCAAAACAACAACAAACAAAAAAACCCAAACCAAAACAAAAAAACAAACAACAAAAAACACACACACTGATTTTCATACAAAACCATGTCTGTACAAGTATGGCCCTGGAATGTTTAATGCTGAATTTCTTTAATGAATGTGAACATTCAAAATGTCATTTTGAGTGTCTTACACTATTGAAGGTCAATACCGAGTGTAACTTCCACGTGAGTGTATGACAGCCAGCACTCTCATCCTCATACCCCTGTCAGCTTCCTGATGCTCTGGAGGGGTAGTCTGCGCCATTCCTCGTGTTAAGCAGATTCCAGGTTCTGTAAAGGAGGATCCATTTATTGCACATGACGACCAATCATGTCCCAGAGAGGCTCCAAAGGGTTAAGACCGGGTCTCATTTAATCGTGAGATATGTCAGGGGGGCTTAACTAAGTTCTCTGTGTGAATATATATGATCAATGTGGTGGAAAACTCGCTTAATGTTTTGTTTCACCAGGACAAGCCACTGTAGCCATGGCGCATGACTGCTGCTTTGATCTCATTGAACATCCTCCATTTGTACCTGTTTGTCAGCATCAAATTTCCACCTTTTCCAAAGCTTGACGGAACAACTGTCTTGCATACATTGCACACATGCTGATGTCTGCTGTGGTGAACCTTCCTCACCACCAGGTGAACCTTTCCACAAAAGAAGGATTCAGGTACTCCATCATCTTGTAAACGTGTAAATGTCACTGGGGATCGTGTTGAAATTTGTAACTTCCTTCATTAATGCACCACACCATAATACAGTTTGCCTGGGATTACCACTTCAACAGGTAAAACGTCAAAACTATCATCAATACTTGATACTGAGCAGACTTTTATATGTACATTTAGGCTCTGATCGTTTCGTAACATCTGGTGGTCAGACCCAGTTACTTGTATTTCTCAGAACACGCTCGTGATGTCAATCAACAAACTGTCTGGTCCACGCTGGATTAAAATTACAGAGTAACACCAAATAGCTGGAATAATACTAAGAGCATCATTAAACAACAAACAAACATGTTTAATATCATAACATTTCACTGATCAAATGGCTTGGGAATGGAACAACGTGATACACATATTAGTTGTTTTGCTGGTTTTTTTGTTTTGGGATAAACTAAACCACAACTTCAGAAATGCATTTATGAAACATTGAGAACAGTTATACATGACACACCAGAAGCAACTGGTAACTTGCCTTTCAACCAGAAGTTCTGATACATGAACAGCAAATTACTTATTATTTCCATCCAACATAAAACCTCACTTACCATACACATCTCTTATATATTTGTAAACCAATTCTTATCTAACTGATCACAACATATGTACATAGCAAGGTACTTTTGTAACATTAAGATCAAAACTGATGCACTGTCAAAAAATGGCCTTCATTGAAGCTTGCACTTAATGTGCCTTGACTTGATGGACTGACACCATAGCCCAAAGAAAAAGACTTCAGCCAGATTTGATCATCATCTTGGACCTGTTTCACCATTGGTTTAAGACTAAAGAGACTGGTACTAAGTTCAAAAGACAAATGTTTAAAAGATCTTACACCAGTACGTAAACTGTTTCTCATGTATGATGCCTGGACAATACTCCTGTGCCTCAATCAAATACATGCAGTGGAGCTCTGCTGAAGGGATGAACATATATTCTAGAAGATGGCTTGAGATGTAAATCTGGTAATTCAATGAGCATGGCCTGTTGATGGATTTGGAAAGTATGTCTGGAATCTAAAGAATTGGCTGGAGCTACGAGGGGCTATCAGTACGTTTTGAGCCTAAAATGCTTCTGATATGTGCATGATATAAATAACTGTATGATATTAAAGAATGGTTTATATCATTTACATAAATGTAATAGTTTCCGGTCATGTGACACCAAATCACATGTACCCCTATTGAAACGGCTGAAATGGATAAGTTTGAGTTCAGAGCAGTCAAAATATTTTTGGTCTTTGAGGGCCACCTGGCGAAACACATTGAGGAGCAATTAGGGTCACCAGGGGTATGAGGGGGACTCGAGCTGCTGTCAATCGCTCTTTAATGTGCTTCGTTGAGCAGCCCTATGACCTGAAACTAGAGGTGAGGTGAGGTGAAATTGGGTTTTACGTCGTGCTTGAGAATATTTTGCTCATATGACGACGCTGAAACTAGAGACATGTGCATGTCAATATTATGTTTATATATCAGAAGTATTTTAGGCTCAAAACTTGTTGATAGTCCCTTGTATGTCTCAAGGCTTGTATATTTCATTTATTTAACAGACTGGATTAACAACCTACGATTTCTTATTTCACAATATAAACTTCATTTGGTTCCATCTCAATTCTTTTAACCCTAACAACTGGACTAAAAATTATTCTCTTGAGAAACAGCGTAGCCGCCAATTGCACATCCATGTCATCAGTCTGTATTCTGTCTTCTGTAGAATGCTGAGGAAGACGGAAGGCTCTGCTTCCTGTTTAATTGTAACACTTGGGTCAAGTCCAGATGGTTCAGGTTGTGGTCCATGAGTGTTTCCCTCATCCTCGTAGTCTGTGATTGGTTCCTCCTTGACTTTCACAACACTTTCATTATCAGTTATTTCTGTGCTGCAGGCAGATGTCGAAGCCTTGCAGACATCAGCACATGTACTGTCTGAGAAGGTACGACTTGTTCCAGGTTGTGTGTCAGCTGCATGGGCTTCAATGTGATCTGCAAGTCCATCTGAGCTATTAAACGTGACCTGACACATGTTGCACTCAAAGCACATACCATCTTCTTCTACTTGTGCCTCTTCTTCCTTGTCTGTTGTGTCGAATTGTGCTTCATCCTTCTTGTTCGTTGCGCCTACTTGTGCCTTATCCTTCTTGTGTTGTGCCCACTTGTGCTTCTTCCTTCTTGCCTGTTGTGCTTTCTTGTGCTGCACGTCTCCTATTCAAATATTTGTGTTTAGCATGATAAAGTTTGTGATTTAACAGAAGGTAGGGGCTGGAATAGAGACTGGGGCACTCATCACAATAATATCTTCCGTTCATTAGTTTACATTTGTCCAAGAATTTATGTCCAAACATGTTGAGACAGTATTCATAAGGTGGAGGTTTCGTGGGCTTCACAAACGACTGTCCTTTGATAGCTATTAACGATCTGTACACATGGGTTTCCTTTTTCTTGAACTCACTAGTTTCCAGTTTCTGATTGGGCCTTCCAGTTTGATTCCCAATACTGTCTCCATCAACATCACTGTCACTGGGCGTGGAGTCATCGTCTTCATCCTCACTGTCAGAAGAAACACAACGTTTCATGGGCTTCACAAACGGCTGTCCTTTGACAGATATTAACGATCTGTACACATGGGTTTCCTTTTTCCTAAACTGACTAGTTCCCGGTTTCCTATTCTGATTGGGCCTTCCAGGTTGATTCCCAATACTGTCTCCATCAACATCACTGTCACTGCGTGTGGAGTCATCTTCTTCGTCCTCACTGTCAGAAGAAACACCAAGGACGGTCCTGTCACCTCCAGTAGATGGCTTGCTTTTCTTCCCTGGTTCCATGGCAATTTGTTCAGAAGGTGGCTTGGACTTCACAGCTGTTGACTTCCTATCAGCAGATATTAACATTTTGTACACATGTGTTTCCTGAGGCTTGGCCTTCTGTTTCCCAGTGTTCATCACCTTCAGTTTCTTCATGGGCCCCTTCATGGGCTTCACCACATTCTGAACATCTTCGTCATCATCACCTTCAACATCTTCATTATCACTTTCACACCTGATGTCCCGGACCTTTTTTAGTTTTTTCCCCTGATATTTGATCAGATTTCTCTTGTGGTTTCTCTTGCGGTCTCTGAACACATGTTCGATTTTAGTTTGGGTTGCAACCCCCTGAGTTTGCTGAGAGTCTGTCACCTTACCTCTCGACAATGGTGTCATGTCTTCTGGATGAGTAATCTTGTGACAGAAAAGGATGTAAGGGTTTGGACAACTCTTACCACACATATTGCAAATGTAGCGTCCATTTTCAATCCAGCATCCCTCCAACACTGGCATCTTATGGAAAGCCTCAACCATCTCTTCTTCACTCATTGTATTGAAGGTCTTATGGTCTGATTTTGGCCTACTTCTTTGTGATGGCATATCGCTCCGTTTCTGGCCAGCTCTGTGAGTATGGTTTCCAAACAGAACCAGATTAGAAAAGATTTCTCCGCAAACATTGCAGACAATTTTCGCCCCAAGCATGTGAAATGGTTGTTTGTGTAATTCCACACTTTGCCTCTCTGGTGTCACAGAGATGATATTCTGTTCCAGAGACATGACGAGTGATTCCTGCTGCACCACCCTCTGTTTCAGGGACTGTGAATCTGACAAACAAGAGTTATACAGAGGTTACTAATAGGGACAGAAATTGGCACAGGATACAGATACCATGTGAGACATTGTACACAAACCAGTTGAATTTCAGTTCTTTTTAAGAGGTCCCAGTGTCAAAATCACATTTGAGCAATAGGGGTGGTTGGTTTGTTGTTTAATGCCTCACTCAGCAATATTCCAGCTATATGGAGGTGGTCTGTAAATAATCGAGGTCTGGACCAGACAATCCAGTGATCAACAGCATGAGCATCGATCTACGCAACTGGGATATTATGACATGTGTCAACTAAGTCGGCGAGCCTGACCACCCAATCCCGTGCCTCTTACGACAAGCATGGGTTACTGAAGATCCGTTCTAACCCAGATTTTCACAGGTATTGGGCACGAAATCTGAGCATTCTTGTCAATTCTTGTCAACGATGATTTAGGTTACATACTGTTGAAGTTCCCCAGGATTTTGAACATTTCATAGAAATATTTTCACTTAAACAATTAAATAAAAAGAATTAATTAGTGATAAATAGAACCACAGCTTATTACTTGCACAAGTATGTCAAATGACTTGCAGGAAAATAGATATCACCCCAAGATCTAAGGAATAGTTCTTAAATGTGCAAAAAACTGAGTGACATTGTTATGATAAACAAGAAGACAAAGTCATCAATATCCCCCGCAATGGCAAAATACTCTTCATGATTATGTCTACGAGTTATGATTATGTCAAATATTTAGGTGTGTATATAGAAAAGTGGAAGGAGAGTATTGAAAGGTTTTTAAAGTTCTGCTCCAGAAAGCAGCACTATCACCAATTTCAGTCAAACTTGTTGCCATGGAAATGCCAAAAATATTTTATTCAGAATTCCCAAACACCAGTACACAAAGATCTATCCATGTGCCACCTGTCTCGAGTACCACCAGGCCTTGTTGGCAGACCAAACATATTTTATTCTTCCAAAACTACCAAAAGGCACCAGTACACCACCAGATCCAAGTATTGGTGAAGAAACATTCTGCTCCAGAAAGCAGCACTATCACCAATTTCAGTCTAAGTCAAACTTGTTGCCAAAATGCCAAAAAAATATTTTATTCGGTTTTAGAGTTCTGCTCGAAAAGAGCACAACCACAATTTCAGTCAAAGCTGAAGTTGTTGCCATGGAAACGCCAAAAATATTTTATTAAGAATTCCAAAACTACCAAAAGGCACCAGTACACCACCAGATCCAAGTTTGGTGAAGAAATATTGAACGGTTTTAGAGTTCTGCTCCGGAAAAGACAAATGTGCACGGACGGACGGACGGACGGAGTCCATTTTAATACCCCCCCACAAAACGCGTTGCGGGGGATAACAAGAAGACAAAGTCATCAATATCCCCTGCAATGGCAAAATACTCTTCATGAATATGTCTACGAGTTTCTGATCATGTCAAATGTTTTGGTGTGTATATAGAAAAGTAGAAGGAGAGTATTGAAAAGGTTTAAAAGTTCTGCTCCAGAAAGGAGCACTACCACCAGTTTCAGTCTAAGTCAAACTTGTTGGCATGGAAATGCAAAGATATTTTATTCAGAATTCCAAAACTACCAAAAGCACCAGTACACCACCAGAGGTATGTATGTGCCAAGTTTGGTGAAGAAACATTGAACGGTTTTACAGTTCTGCTCAGGAAAAGAGCAATACCACCAATTTCAGTCTAAGTCAAACTTGTTGGCATGGAAATGCCAAAAAATATTTTATTCAGAATACCAAAAGGCACCAGTACACCACTAGATGTATGTATGTGCCAAGTTTGGTGAAGAAACATTGAACGGTTTTAGAGTTCTGCTCCGGAAAAGAGCACAACCACCAATTTCAGTCTAAGTCAAACTTGTTGCCCTGGAAACGCCAAAAATATTTTATTCATAATTCCAAAACTACCAAAAGGCACCAGTACACCACAAGATCTATGTATGGGCCAATGTTGGTGAAGAAATAGTGAACGGTTTTAGAGTTTCGCTCCGGAAAAGAGCACAACCACCAATTTCAGTCAAAGTCAAACTTGTTGCCATGGAAACGCCAAAAATATTTTATTCAGAATTCCAAAACTACCAAAAGGCACCAGTACACCACCAGATGTATGTATGTGCCAAGTTTGGTGAAGAAACATTGAACGGTTTTAGAGTTCTGCTCCAGAAAAGAGCACAACCACCAATTTCAGTCTAAGTCGAACTTGTTGCTATGGAAACGCCAAAAATATTTTATTCAAAATTCCAAAACTACCAAAAGGCACCAGTACACCACAAGATCTATGTATGGGCCAAGTTTGGTGAAGAAATAGTGAACGGTTTTAGAGTTCTGCTCCGGAAAAGAGCACTACCACTAATTTCAGTCTAAGTCAAACTTGTTGCCATGGAAACGCCAAAAATATTTTATTCAGAATTCCAAAACTACCAAAAGGCACCAGTACACCACCAGATCTATGTATGTGCCAAGTTTGGTGAAGAAATAGTGAACGGTTTTAGAGTTCTGCTCCGGAAAAGAGCACTACCACTAATTTCAGTCTAAGTCAAACTTGTTGCCATGGAAACGCCAAAAATATTTTATTCAGAATTCCAAAACTACCAAAAGGCACCAGTACACCACCAGATCAATGTATGTGCCAAGTTTGGTGAAGAAACATTGAACGCTTTTAGAGTTCTGCTCCGGAAAAGACAAATGTGCGGACGGACGGACTGACGGACGCACTCCATTTTAATACCCCCCGCAAAACGTGTTGTTGGGTATAATAAACACTGACTTACAAGTTGACATCAAATGGTTCTGACCAAAAGGGCAAACTCTTACAGACACCTCCACACACTCTGGTGCAGTGATGACAACAACACAACAACATCAGCACAACAACACTGCCGCAGGCTAATTTGCTTATCATGTGACCAGACTTTTCTCGTTTATAAACAAACGCGCATATTCGTAAATAAGAAGAGATTGGCCTGCGCAAGCTTTTCGCTACGCTCTTCATAATGTTTTATATTGTCACATAAATATTCTTCTACAACTGCGACAGTAAGGTTTATGACATATTCATATATCAAATGGGCTGCATCGTTTGCTCTCTGTCGGCTTCGATGACAGCACATGGAGCCATACAACCCATGTAAACAAGAGTCATCAGAAGATGACATATCCCCCCGGCCCCCACATCTTTGAAAGAACAAATCATCTGACAGTTACTTAAAGTCCAGCTTGATTTTAGACTAAGTGCAAATCGTTTCCATGGAAATCATGAAAAAAATAAATGACAAAAATCTGCAAATAGCAAAAGGCACCACTTTGGGATCTGCCTCACATATCTGCCAAGTTTTGCTGAAAGATATTAAGAAGTTTTCGCGTTGTGCTCCGGAAACAAAACCCATCCCTTCCTTTTGGGATTAAGTCCGAATCGTTTCCATGGAGTCCGGGAAAAATAAAAATGCCAAAAATCTGAAAATAGCAAAAGGCACAACTTTAGGATCTGTTTGATATATCTATCAAGTTTTGTTGAAAAATATTATACGGTTTTTGAGTTGTGCTCCGGAAACGAAAGCAATCCTTACTTTTTGAGACTAAGTCCAAAATGTTTCCATGGAAACCAAGAAAAATAAAAATGCCAAAAATCGGCAAATAGCAAAAGGCACCACTTAAGGTTCTGTTTCATACATCTACCAAGTTTTGTTGAAAAATGTTGAACGGTTCTTGAGTTATGCTCCGGAAACGAAGCCCACCCCTCACTTTTGGGACTAAGTCCGAATCGTTTCCATGGAAACCGGGAAAAATAAAAATGCCAAAAATCTGCAAATAGCAAAAGGCACAACTTAAGGTTCTGTTTGATATATCTACAAAGTCTTGTTGAAAAATATTGAACGGTTCTTGAGTTATGCTCTGGAAACGAAGCCCACCCCTCACTTTTGGGACTAAGTCCGAATCGTTTCCATGGAAACCGGGAAAAATAAAAATGCCAAAAATCTGCAAATAGCAAAAGGCACCACTTAAGGTTCTGTTTGATATATCTACCAAGTCTTGTTGAAAAATATTGAACGGTTCTTGAGTTATGCTCTGGAAACGAAGCCCACCCTCACTTTTGGGACTAAGTCCGAATCGTTTCCATGGCAACCGGGAAAATAAAAATGCCAAAATCTGCAAATAGCAAAAGGCACAACTTTAGGATGTGTTTGATATATCTACCAAGTTTTGTTGAAAAATATTGAATGGTTCTTGAGTTATGCTCCGAAAAGCGAAAGCAATCCCTACTTTTGAGACTAAGTTCAAAATGTTTCCATGGAAACCGGAAAAATAAAAATGCCAAAAATCGGCAAATAGCAAAGGCACCACTTTAGGATCTGTTTCATACATCTACCAAGTTTTGTTGAAAAATATTGAACGGTTCTTGAGTTATGCTCCGAAACGTTTTGGGACTAAGTCCAAATCGTTTCCATGGAAACCGGAAAAAATAAAATGCCAAAAATCTGTGAAATGCAAAAGGCACCACTTTAGGATCTGTTTGATATATCTACCAAGTTTTGTTGAAAAATATTGAACGGTTCTTGAGTTATGCTCCGGAAACGAAGCCCACCCCTCACTTTTGGGACTAAGTCCAAAACGTTTCCATGGAAACCGAGAAAAATAAAAATGACAATTATCTGTAAATAGCAAAAGGCACCACCTTAGGTTATTTTTGACATATCTACCAATTTTGGTTAAAAAATATCGAACGGTCTTTGAGTTATGGTCCGGAAACAAAATGATTACGGACGGACGGACGGACGAGGCGACGACTATATCCCACCGCATTATATGCCGGTGGGATAACAAAGGAGTGCTACACAAATCGAAATAGTGTTACATGTTTTAGGATATTTTCTCAGTGAAACTAAACCATTGTATCAAAGATGTTTAATTTGATGTAAAGACTCATAAAAAATTAAAGAGTTAAGAAATATGTTCATTATATTGAATGGACTGTGTAAGATGTGACGA